AGTTGTCAACCTAAAGCTACTCTCCTCTGCCCCTGCAGGGCTCAGTCGTTTGCCGAGCGGCTGCGTCTGGGCATCGCTGTGATCCACGGWGAGGCTCAGGATGCAGAGTCGGACCAGGTAGATGGACGACATTCCCCACCCACCGCCAAGACCACCGGAGCCATTCACCCCAGCATGGAGATCCCATGTAAAGCAAACTCAGTCACTTTCCTGCACTCTGAGTTGGGTTATCTGTGAGTGTCGAAGCTTACTTGTGGTTTGTGTGTTCAGTGTTGATCCCTAAAGAGAAGCCCCCCATCACTGTGGTGGGTGATGTAGGAGGACGCATCGCCATCATAGTGGTGAGTTTTACAGAAAACTCTTATCGTGGCCAGCAGTGGGCGCCGTGCAGCTGTAACGTGAGCTTTAAACTGTAGGATGACATCATCGATGACGTGGACAGCTTCGTGGCAGCAGCAGAGACGCTGAAGGAGAGAGGGGCCTACAAGATCTTTGTTATGGCAACGCACGGCCTCCTGTCCTCCGACGCCCCCAGGTTCATAGAAGAGTCTGCCATCGATGAGGTCAGCGTGCTCCCAACATGAAATGCTTCCTGTTTAGCTGTGTTCCGCCTAACCTCACCCTCATGGTCTCCCGTCAGGTTGTGGTGACCAACACGATTCCCCACGAGCTGCAGAAGCTCCAGTGTCCAAAGATTAAAACAGTCGACATCAGCTTGATCCTGTCTGAGGCCATCCGCCGCATTCACAACGGGGAGTCCATGTCGTATCTGTTCCGAAACATCGGCGTGGACGACTGAACAGCCTGATGCATATTTATACTAATATTTGTGTTTTCATCCCTGTGGGAACACTCCTTTAACACGTTACATCCCCCCCCCCCCCCCCCTTAAACTAACCTTTTAAACCCTATACTGATCCTGAGGAAAGAGTCTGGGTCTGTGAGGACAGGAGGTCCCTCTGGGTTAGAGTTCAGMCATTTAAAGTTTCTACTGGAACATAAAAATCTAACTCATCCATACTGTGGAGTCTTGACATCTAACATTTCCCTGCCCCTCTAACCAAACAATTATTTCTAACATTAAAGGTTTGATTTTTAAGTGGTTTCTGTGGAAATTTTATAAATAACCTGTTAGTTCTTAGAATGACCTCACTATGGACAAATGGTTCAATTTAAATGGACCATCGAGCTAAAGGCTAGTCTGAAACCAGCTAAGACCGAAGTGGATGGCTGCCCTCCTAAAACAATTCCAATGTTGAAAACACAGGAATTCATGCAAACGCTGTTTTATAAACCTTTATCCTCAAGTTAATTTTGCATTTCAGTCATTTTATTGAACAGCCAAATTAGTAGCTGAATAGTTTTAAGTGTTTTTATTTTATAGKCGCATTTATACATGTGAAGAGGCGGGGCTTAAAATTGTACTGCAGCCAACAATTAGAGGGTTTGATTTACTTTAACGCCGTTTGATTTATATATACATCTATCAATGTAATAAACTGTCACACAGACATGTTTATGCAGTTATTAATATTATTATCTTCCCTGTTGGTGAGTTCTTAACACCTTAGTTTGGAGAAAGTTTATGTTTGACAGAACTGAGGAGCTAKCGGCTAGTCTGAGCAAAGCTAAGAATATGTTTTTTCACGTGTATTTAAAAATGCAAATGGCWGTAGCAGCAGTTTGCTGTAGCACCTCTGGTTGTGTATAACATTTCAGTCTGAAGAACAGTGTAAGGTTTGAGAAAATGTTATGTATGAAATTTTAGAAAGTAAAGTTTTGAAGTTGGCTGTGAATCACTTTGGTCTTGGCTACATTTTGACTAGTTCATAAGATTGGTAGACCTGATCTTTTTTTTTTCAAACTGATAATTATTAGAGATACAATATTAATAAATATTTCTTCCACAGAAACCTACTTCAAAATTTCTGAACATCCTCACATCAGCACCTGGGTCTGTAGATGTATGCCCTGCTAACAAATTGATAACATTTGTAGATTTATTAGTCTTTTTAGGAGTCCAAGCCTGTGGAGCAGGAAACCCTTTTGTATCTGTTTTTGTTTTTTTGTTTTTTATTGTTAATATAGTCTTTTTTCTTCCATCAAAAAAWCTCATTCTGCAGCCCAAACTACTGGGACTACATAATATGCTRTAATAAGGTCTCTGCATTTGGTTCTCTGACTTCTAAGCCATAACTCACAGTTTTTTGGCCTATTGCAACACAATCCCTGGTCAGATGTTATAGGCCACAACCATTTCCACCTAAAAACTTTTGTTTCTTCTCAAAGGTTTAAATTCAAAYGCAATGAAACTCACCACCCCAAATCTTGCCAAACTCAAATTCTGTCATATAATCWAAACAATACCACATGATTAGATGAAAATCATATTCCTGTTACAAGAGTCAGTTTTGAGTTAGTGGACCAAATCTGAAAGTCTGTAATGGGTAAAATGTTTTGATCTGTAACCCCTGTTTTCTTAGCCCAATCAACAAAAACTTTGCTACTTCTTAATAATACACTTGTATTTTTTGATTAGATACRTTAGTTTAAAAACATGTTTTGTTTATGCAAATTGGCRAAATATATTAAACCTTTAAAGACTTTCTGATCTAAAGACACAAATTTAATAAGCATGAAACATCTTATAAGCATGAAACATCTTATATAGCACCTAAAGTGTGAGATGGGTTGACATGTATAAACGGGCTTGGACCCCAGTCATAACTGCTTTGCAGTTTTAGTTTATCTTGTTGTTTTTTTTTAAGTTAAGACAAAACTCTTTATTTTTACCTCAAATTCATCTTTTTGAATTTCCTACTGAACGATTGTGGGTGTTTGTGCCTTCTGCAGGCCTGCACTTGATCTGCTGCTTCTGTGTCACTACTAATACATGTCCTCTTTTGTCTCAAAATCTGCGAAAATACAGGTTTTATGCTAACTCGCCTGACTGCATGTGTAAATAGTTGTTACATTTGGGAGGAGGAGTTTAGTTAGCATTACTAATTAGCCATGTATCTATAGTTGACGTAGCATCTGGTGTCAAATGTACCAGTTGTTTAAGTGTAACTGGAATTAATTCAAGAAATATGTTGATTGAAAATCAGCTTTAATGGCAGTGTGCCTGTGTTATACTTCCATTCGTGATCCATACAACATAATGTGCCATCACTGCACTGATTTCTCATGTTGAGTTGAGTCTTTATTATAATACCTTCCAGCTAAAAGGTTTAAAATCTGTAAATCTCAGTTTTTCTTTCACATCTCTCTGTTCTCGATTTGAAAGTTTGTAAAAAGTTACTTCAGGTTTTTGTCAGAAGAATGTTTCTGACCTTTTAAGAGTTAAATTCATTTTTGATCCTCAGATTGGTCTAGAACAGACCACTTACCTTTCAGAGATGTTCCAAAKTGTAGCTTGTGCGAAAAAAAAACTGACCACAACTTGACTGAAGCAGGTCTTTGTCACTTTGCCAGATGTTCCGATATGTTTTTGTATTTATTTTCTGCACTTGAAATGAATAAATGTCTTATAAAAAAAAAGGTTTGACTGTTCATTTGTGGGTATTTTRTGGTAGGCAGGATAGCAGGATGTGATAATTCAGACACCCTCAGGATGAGAGAAGAGAGCGGGGATGACCCAGCACAACCAGTCCAGTTTAAAGCAACAGCTCAGGTCTAGTCTCGTTTTGCTTTTGTTTATTTTCTGTTCTTATATGCTTTTATGGTAGGTGTTACCAARTATAAAAAACTAGGTTTGTAAATCAGCCTTAGGCACAAAAACAATCTAAAAATAAAGCAACAACAGAATTGTTATAAAATATAACCTTGTCTAATGAATCACTGGCAGCTAAATTCAAGATGTCYGCCACAGCCAACTGACCTTAAATAAGCACAAACAAGCTGTCATTTTTACAGATACTGTAAAGTCAGTGACAGCAGCTGAGCATCATTTCAAGCATGTGCTCTTAAACACAATACAGTGCCAGAAACAGTTGGTGTCAACCGTTAGCAAAATACCTCAGGATGATCTGACTTTATGCATTTAAATAAGGACTGTTRGGCCTTTAACTTTATGAATGTTTACATCTAATTTCACGTCTTGTGTTGTTTCATCAGTGACATATTCTGCATTTCAAATTAATGAGAATCTGTTTTGTTTTGTTTTTTTGATGTGCACAAGTGACTCAACGATGTGAAGCTCAAAACAAGTAGATTTGAGAAATTCCATTCTGATCAGAGAAATAAAGCAAATGAGACAAACTAACCAGTCAGCTATACTTTTGAACAAAATAAGACCTTTTTCCACCGGTTTTAAATTATTACTCATGACCCAGATTATCAGTCCACCAGAATCAAATTCTTTYTCAATACTGAGTCTGTTTGAAAAGGTAGGGTAGATATAAAACATTTTTCTTCTTTCTGCTGCCTTTCATTTTATTTATATTTTCTTCTCCTGTTGTGTATAGAGTTTACAGTGGGGGAAATGAGTATTTGATCCCTTGCTGATTTTGTAAGTTTGCCCACTTACAAAGACATGAACAGTTACATTTTAAGGGTAGGTTCAGTTTAACAGGGAGAGAGAGAATATTTAAAAAATCCAGAAAATTACATTGTATAAATTGTWTAAATTTATTTGCATTTTGCAGTGAGAAATAAGTATTTGATCTACTACAAGACATTAAGAGTTCTGGCTCCTACAGACCAGTTAGACGCTCCTAATCAACTTGTTACTTGTATTAAAAGTTCAATCCATTTATCACTAAAGACAGCTGTTTTAAATTGTCACATGTGTAAAAGACTCCTGTCCACAGACTCAAGCAGTCAGACTCTAACCTCTGACCAAAGAGCTGTCTAAGGATGTCAGGGATAAGATCATAGACCTGCACAAGGCTGGAATGGGCTACAAAACCATCAGTAAGATGCTGGGTGAGAAGGAGACAACCGTTGGTGCAATACTAAGAAAACAAAGGAAATACAAAATGACTGCCTCTAAAAGCCCTATCGAYCYGGRGCTCCATGTAAAATCTCACCTGGTGGGGTATCCTTGATCATGAGGAAGGTGAGAGATCAGCCTAGAACGTCCATTTAATTTTTTCAAACTATAATGATTTCAAATGAAGCTAAATCATTTTAAYTAAAAGGAATTGTACAGGGGTTAGACAATGAAAGTGAAACACCTGGTTTTAGACCATAACATCCCTTTCAGACAGCTTCCTCTTGCGTCCACAGTTAATCCTGTTGGATGTGGTTGGTCCTTCTTGGTGGTATGCTGACATTACCCTGGATACCGTGGCTCTTGATACATCACAAAGACTTGCTGTCTTGGTCACAGATGCACCAGCAAGACGTGAACCAACAATTTGTCCTCTTTTGAACTCTGTCTGGTATGTCGTCCATAATATTGTGTGCATTGCAATATTTTGAGCCAAACTGTGCTCTTACCCTGCTAATTGAACCTTCACACTCTGTTCTTACTGGTGCAATGTGCAATTAATGAAGATTGGTCACCAGGCTGGTCCAGTTTAGCCATGAAACCTCCCACACTAAAATGACRGGTGTTTCAGTTTCATTGTCTAACCCCTGTATGTCGTTAGTGTGATGATTTATGGAGGTTTTCAGTCCTGTCCAACTCTGTGCATCTCTTTGGGCCTGTCGATGCGGTAGACGAACTCCGCAGGCAGGAAGTAGCCCAGGTACTCCACAGTGTCGGGCGTCGTGTCGATGTAGTAGTGACCACCTTCACCGTGGTGGCTGAAGCAGTGGGTGTGCTCCATGCGCAGGTCCAGGCCCTGAACATGTTACAAAGCAGCCTGGTTTTATTTCAAAAGCACTACAAACTGATAATAAAGCTGTTTAGAAATGTGCGGTGTGTTGGGCACAGCTAACCAAATTGTCAGCTTCGCTAACCGCTAAATAAGAATCTTAGCTCCGCTAAAGCTAAACAGATTAGAGAARTTTAGATGAAGCTAAAGCTAACTTAGTTAGCGACTGATGCAAACCAGTTCTTAGTTTGACTCTATTGGTTTAATTTGAAGGTGGGTGGGATCATCTGTGGCAAAYTGGCAAATCATAATCAGAGTRATAGCTCTGTCTAACTAGTGATACTTCCAGTTTAACCCTTTCAGAATAAAAGCATTTCTTTGATCGAGTTTGTTGTTTGATTAACTTCAAATACTTTTTCTTCCATGTTTAAATTTCAGTCATATTTTTGTTTCCGTTATTTAAATACTGGTAAATCGTTAAGTTATTTCTTTTTGACACTCTTAGCTGGACGTTTAGCTGCTAAAGATGCTCCATGGTACACGGTACACACACGGTATTCAGCACTGCTTGTAAGAAGGGGTCATTTTTTGTTATTTTGGGATAAACGGCATAAAAAAAATAAAAGACACAATATTTTATTGGAGTTAAAATTAGTGGAAGTCTATTTAATGTTTCCCTAAGTCATCAAAAAAAAAAAAAAGCTAATCTCCTAAACGGGTAGCTAGTTCCGATATTAGCTAATTAGCTAGTTAGCCAAACTGTGCCCACCGCTGGAAATGTGTCTCCTCTACTCACGGGGTCTCTGGATACGAGCACAGACTGGCAGATGAGCGGAGAGCTGACCTCAAAGTGCTTCAGCCAGTTGTTCACGTCATCGTTGGTGTTGAGGGGGCAAGCCGAGAACTCTCTTGGCTTTCAGTGGTTCAAACCAAGAAAATAAAAAATAAAATCAGTGTACGTGACTTTCAGCACTTTTCAACGATCTGATTCGAGTCTGTGTTTACCATGATGTGGATTTTAGCCTTTCCTTTCTGGATGAGGAAAGTGCCTCCAAGAGCGAGACTTTCCCCGGGATAGTGAGCTTCCAAAGTGGTTCTCAGAGCCGTTATCAGACTGTCGCTTCCTGTTCTCCTTTTGGCTCGTACCTCTATGACCTGCAGAGACGTGAACATGCTGAGGGGACAGCTTTGCTTGTTCAGCTACAAAGCTGTAGTTAATGTTTATTGTTTCTAATACTGGGTGCAGACAYGTGAAGGGGGCAAAGTTCTTGCATCAGCTGATGCAGCAATGAGTGCAGTTTTTAATGAGAAACTTGTCCTTATTCATTTACTTAATACTTAGTTCACAAGGCAAGATTATAATATTGTTGGTTGAGATGAAAAAAAAATCATAGATATAACAGGTTTGGTCCTACAGTGTGTGGTGTACAGCCACACACCAACAGATTTCACTCACCGACACTCRGATGTCAGACAGGAAATCTCGCGAGAAATTTCGACACCAAAGTGAGTTCAGAGTAAACACACATGGCCGCCGCAAAGAAGAAGTGATGGTGATAGTTTTGTGGGTTATTTTTAACAGAGAAAAATATAAACAACAAGACGTCTCCGACATCCACCAGACTTTCTGGTGTGCCATGGCGTGGTTTTGTCTTCTGTATTTTGGATTCCCCTCCCTGTTTTCGTCACCTCGCTCTCTGATTGGCTACACGTCACATTCAACAGGCACGTTCGTTTGTCCTCAGGGGAACAACTCATWCACTGGGATACCGGGCCAAGACGATCCAACATGTTACACATCCCTGATTTGAGATCGGGTCAGTCCTGACGTCTTTCCGAGCCGACTAGATCACTCCTAACACACCACACACTGCAGGACAATCTCCAAAGATTGTCTGTACAGACGTCACAACAATTGGGGCGTCCATAAGATTGCCAGAAGGAAAAAACTGAGTCAAAAATCGGCACAGTTATCTTGCCGTGTGAACCAGGCTTAAGAGGAAAAAAGCTGGAGATAAAGATGATGATGATGCCTTTGTCATTGTACAGAGTACAATGAAATTACATTTAAGAACACCCATTCAAGAAGACACAYGACAAAAACATGGGGGAAACAGGTGAACAGGTCATGCGGCAACCAGCAGAGGTTGCGCTACCTTTAAAAAGCTGGAAATACACAGCAGGAAAGTTGAGCTTAAAAATTGCTCTGATCCTATGTTTACATCAGAAACACAGAATCATATGCACAAAAAAAACCACTGGCGGCAGAGCAGTGAGGGGACTTTTTACCTTTCCTGGCTTCCCTTCACAGGCATACAGGTTCCCCAACAGTCCGAAGCTGCAGTCTGAGAATCGGTCAGCGTACTTTTCCTGCAGACACTGACCATCGGCCGGGTTGATTGAGGCGAAGTAGCTGCAGTTCACTGCCGGTCTTCCCTCTGCTTCAGTCAGAACTAGAGGCATCAGCTGTGGGCGAAACATATTTCTGATTCCTTCAACTTTTTAAATCATTTCCTCTCAGATTACCCACAGATTTATTATTTAACTTAAAAAAAAAGACACATCCTGCTTTTAAATCTTTTTCCATATTTAAATCATTCAGTTGGGGTCTGCATAAAGTGGAACTGCAATGCTTTGGCCTGAATTCCTCCTTATTGTAACTCGACAAGCCCCTCTTTTACCCCTGTTCTGTTGTGCATCTGAGAGCAACTCATTTCAGAGCTGTCTCTTTAAATGTAAATGAGGCACTTCACACCCCGCCCTCCTSCAGGTCTAATGCTGCGTTCCAGTTGTACTCGGAGGTCGGAATTTCAGGCTTCCRAGTCGAAAACATCAACTGAARTGTCTCTTAATGTCGTAATTTTGGGTTGGGAAGTCGGCGCAACACGACCACACTCGAGCGCACGTGACGTCATCATTTCAACATGGCCGCTCCTGGCGTCAGCAAAGGGTGAAACTCTTAATCAGTTCTGTGTTGTTTATTTTCAATACGTAAAGCTTATTGTTGACGATTAGGCGATATGTTTCAACGCTGTGTGAACACTCACAATGCCGCGTAGAGCGCCATTTTTGTATTATTGTTGCATTATTCAGAGCAAAAAACACTTTTTTCCCCGACATTCTCACAAGATCAAAACTCGAAAATGACGCAAGTCCAACTTCTCTACTTCAAGTTCCACTGCAACTGCATGACTACCAATGATCACTGTCCACTTCACCCCGTTCAAACATATTTATATTCTGTTAGCAAATATACGGTTATTTAAAGGCACAGCAGCTTTTTATTTACAAGTTAATGAAAGAGACTAACTCAGAACGAGAGGAGAATGAAGACAATGAACCTGATTCACAAAATCAATTAGCCTGAAGTTCATGACCTTTTTAAGAAGTTCTGCAGCAAATACTGTGACATTTTTGTTCAAAATACGCAATCAACATTAGACAAAACTGAACAAACAGAAAAATATCACCCCAAATTTATTTACCGTTATTTATTTATTTCCTGTTGTTTAACCAGGCAAGTCCCGTTAAGATCTCAGATCTCTTTTTCAAGGGAGGCCTGGACCTGAAAACAACCTATTGTACATGTTTTTAGGAGTGGGGGAAACCAAAGTACCTGGAGAAACCCCCCGCGAGCACGAGAACATGCAAACTCCACACAGAAAGACCCCAGGTCCGAACCAGGAATCGAACCCGGGACCTTTTGGCTGTGAGGCGTCGGTGCTAACCACTGAGCCGCCATGCTGCCCAAAAATATTATAAGGATATTTACGCAGACCTGGGGCCCCATGTATTAACAGCACAAAAACATTGCGTACGTCATTTTCCACGCAAAACTCTGGATGTATCAAAACTGAACTGAACGTGGAAATGTGCGCAGCCC